GGGAATAAGTTTGGGAGTGTATGAGAAAGTTTAAGTATGAAATGGATTTTCAAAGAATGTTGAGGTATGGAATGGAAATGGAATAAGGAAAAGGATGGTAAAGGGAAGAAGAAGAAAAGGGGGAGGTAAAGGAGAGAGAGGTGGGTAAGGGAAAATTTGTCAGTAATAGTTTAATATTTCGTAAATGACCAACTTATTACTTATGTGTAGTGGTTGAAAGAAGGACTATATTTACCTCCAACTCGGTTTGGACTTTGGAGGCTCTCCCTACAACCCGTACACATGTGTTCAGTCTATTGGCTGAAATAATTATTTTATTTTTCTTTCCCAACACCATTAACGCTAACGGAAAGGGACAGATGTAAGAATTATTGGTGAATACCATTGTTGGCGCAAAAATAATAATTAGCCTACTATAGTAAATCTAGCAAAAACATTTAGGGGTCGTTTGGGGAACATGAGTTTAAATCTACAGATTGCTAACAATTTAAAGATTCTAATTCTTCGGATTGTTGAAAACAGATTTTAAAATGTTTATTGTTTGGTAACTGTGATTGTTAACATTCAATTAAAATAAAAAATTTAGTTTTATACTAAATGACATGTTTATCCTTAATAAAAAAATTAGAGTGGTTCGAGAAATATTAAAAACTTTATTGATAAATATATTTCATGTGATAAATAAATAAAATAAAGAGAAAAACTAGGAGAAAAAAAACTTCACGAATCAAGATATAGAATCTCTCTGATTATGAGAGATTTAATATCCGCGGATTTTAGAGATTTGAAATCTCTAAAGATAGAATCCACAATACAAAAAATAACAAAAAAACATAACTTTCTACAAAATCTACGGATTCAGTGAATACATATCCTGAATCTTGTTCTCCAAACCAGCCCTTAATAGCCTTCTTACTAGGAGTAAAATTAAGGATTTTGAGAGGCATGCTGATGCTAGTGTAGATGAATACGTGATCCACTAGAATACAAATATAAAAGAACATAAAATAAATATTGTATACATATTTAGTATGTGAAATATCAAACAGATAAAGCAAAATGAGATGCCATTAAAATAGTGCAAGAACCTGACCATTAGATTCGTTTAATATCATATGGATAATAAAAGAATTTTTACTAGCAAGCTATGATGTTGTATCTTAACCTGTATGTAAAATCACAATATCAACCTTGTAATTGTTTAGGAAAACATTTTTCCTTTTCTTTTTAATTTGAAGGTACTGTGAGGAATAGTCCTTTAGGATATTTAGGAGCTGGAATGTTCATCTCATTCATATATGTCTTCTGTATGGAGTAACATTTTTACTTTCTTGGCTATCACAATGCAAGCACAATGCTTGCATGTTATTTTGATGCTTCAAAAAGGAGTTGATTTATCCTATACATGATGCTACTACTAATCTTGAGTCACCAATTAATTAATAATAATATAAGTACTGTTTGTACCACCTACCTCTGGATACGAATAATAATTAGTAGTAGCGTGGCTAGGACTTGACTTGCGATCCACTCGTCCGATCTCGTCGGGAAGAAGAGATCCTGTGGAAAAATGGGAATGTCTCCAAATTGTACTCCGATGATCATGTGAGTATATTGCATAAAGTGAGTTGAGAGAATATTTAGAGAGAGTAAAAACCAAAGTGTAAAGTGAGGATGAAGAAGTTGAGTCCCCTGCCCTCCCTGGAAGGATTGGAAACCATTATATAGTTGTAGCGGGCATCAGATTAGGCTTCACTGTTGGATGTCGCCAGTTAGACATCACTGATAGTACTCCTAGCTGATGTGCCACTACTCTATCTATCGTACGATAGACTTCTTAATTTGATGTCACTAATAAGTAATAACACTCCCAATAATAAGTTAAAATCGTTTTTGGCATCCTATTAGAGAAAACTAATTAAGTTAGAATCACTAGTCACTACTTGTCTACTCATCATGCATTCGGCCCTAGCCAACCAAACGTATCATAGACTAACCCATTAATTGGGAGAGGGGCTGTTGAAACGAGATCATTACAAACAAACAATAAAAAAAGTGTAGAATTATTGATTAAGGTGGGGGCGGTACGGTAAGCACGAGATATGGCCGCGATTAGGGAAATCTTAACGAAAATGAAAGGTTGGATAATTAATTAATGCCAGATTCCGCAAAATAAGTCTCACGAGGCGACAGTGCAGTAATATAATCCGTCTTTAAGAGAAAAAAGTACAGTGATGTAAGAAAAGCAAACCAACTGAGTCTAATTGGAATTGTCGAAATCAATGCATTTTATGAATTAGAATGTTTTTCTCATGCAACTTCTTGTCAATATTCTGTTCAAATTTCGTGTGCACATATCTATTCAAGGAATCGGTTAAAAGTATGAATAATTATTATCATTGTTGGGCGGCATAGGCTTTTAGATACAAATGAAACTTGTATCATAATGTCAAATGAGATTTGTATTCTAGGATGGAGTCTAGTTAAAGGTAAAAGTTCAGTTTGTACTATAAATAAATTTATAATTTTATGTTTGTACTATAAATGAATTTGTACATTTATATCAAAATACAAATTCATTAGATGACATTTTGGTCGACGATTACATATCCGAATATGATCTGGTTTTGTATCCTATATGAACCTTTATTATATGGTCTTTCCCCAGTATAACGCTTTAGATTAGGGGTGGGAAACCGTTCGGTTTAACCCGGTCTTTTAGATGAGAATTGTGCCAATGAACAACCCGAAACTGGATTGGATTGAAAAGAGTTTCAATCGTGACTGGATTGGATTGAAAAGAATATGGTCCGGTTTTAACCTGAAAATCGAAAAGACACAATTCTCGTCTCAAAATGTCACGTAACTCAAAATACATTAGACATAAAAAAAAACTTTCATCTTCTTTGTGGTGAAGGCAAGGCCGAGAGTAGCGAGCAGGACGTGGTGGTTGATTGTAGCTGGTGGAAAGGAAATTGGACAATAGTAGTTTGAGTGCAATATGCTTGGCCAAGGATCAAGTCCATCATGAGAGGACTAAACACATCGACGTGAGGTATCATTTTTTGAGGACAGAGAAGAGGATTAAGGTGAAGAAGGTTGGCACCGCGGATAATCCTGCTGACATGTTCACGAAGCCGGTTCCACATGACAAGTTCCAACACTGCTTGGACTTGCTGAATGACTTGAGTGGGTGACTCCGCCCTACGGGGCATTGATGGCAGCAAAGAGAGAAGGAGCAGAATACATCAAAGATTTCAGAGGAAGAGGATTCAAGTCAAGGTGGAGATTTGTTGATGTGACTTGAATCAGACTATCAGCCGTTACGACTGGAAGTCATGGGGTCTCGATGTATGGTCCATACACGTTTGTGTTATCGGTTTTGGGCCTGGTCTGTAATCGTTTCCTTTACCATATTGGATTAGGTTTAGACCCACATGGAGAAGTATAATACTTCTCATCTCCTCTGTAATCTGTAATCTCCTCGATATAGTGAAACTGACTCTCTCCTGCCCATGGACTAGCTAACACACATTGTGTTAGTGAACCACGTAAATCGTGTGTCTGTTTTCGATTCTCGCTTTCGTATTATTGCTTTCTCGATTCCAAAGACTTCCTGATCCCTAGCAGCACAGTTATAACAAACCTCTTTTTGACAATGTTTTTGACTCTCATCTTCAAGCTCGCTCTTTTCTCCCAATTGCATAAGCTTATAAATGGTGATATTATTTCTTTTTATATCTAATTGTCTTTCCCTGTGTTTCTTTTGGGAGCATAATTAAAGGTTTTTGTTTCACATATGGGAGAACAAAATGCAACATGAAGGCACAAAGTTACTTTAACATTGGGTCTTCAAATTTAGCTCCCATGTATTGAGCATATGAGATCAATTTTCTCTTCCTCCCCCACTGTTTAAACTACCTCTTCTTTCACATGAAAATATTAATGCTGAAGTTAACAATGAGGCATCTAAAGGTTCAACTTCTAATTATAACTTTCGCAGTGCACAAAATAATCCTTTGGTTTTTCTTTTATAGCTTGAGCCCTTGACCCAAGTTAAGAATGCTCAGTCTGAATCTTGGCACTAGGTCATTTCTGGTTTCTCTAATAGCTTCTATAACGAAACTCTCTTACATGCATGCATGCAAAATGGTCACAAATTCTATGACATATTAGTTTGTGCAAAATAAGTAAGGTTAATGTTGTATCGAGTAGGGTTTTTAGGTCGCCATGCTACATCTTCAACATGCTACTTCATATTGTTGATCAATCTCTAATGTGCCCTGTATCTTCTTTCGCATCGTATAATTTCATATCTATAATGTGTACCGTGACGAATAAAGACGGTAACTATTGAGAATATATATTTGATTAAACTACATGTGAATGGACAATCATTTTCTTTTATGATTAAGATGAATTATGTGTGTATAATGGAAGAAAACTCTTATGTTTCGTTCTGTTTGAAATATAAAATAAACAGACACCATTTTCTTTCTAAATATTATTATTAGTTATTTATTTTTGTTATTTATTGTTATATTCTTTTATCAGTACCGAACAATTATACATTATAAATCATAACAACATATAATCAAACTCTCCCGACCAAACGCCGGGCCCGGTGCTAGTCCGTATAATACAAGTTTTTCTAAACCCAATGGAAATAGAGGCTCCCCATCTTAACCCGCTGGGCTCGTCCCGAAAGATCTTCATTAGTCAGGTTCCTAGCATACCTGAGGCCCACTCGTTTGTTCCGTAGTGGGCCCAACGCAGTCTCTATCCACTATCCAGCCCCTGATTTCCAAGAAAATTCAACCCAAATCTCAAACCCAGAGTGAGCCCACTTTCCAACCAAGTTCCAACAAAGGGTTGGTAAAGGGTAGGCGGTTGATGATGAACGGAACCTTTCAAGGCCAGCTATCCCATTCCCAACTACAACCCGGTAGATCTATAAATACACACTCAAACTAACGCCCTTCAATATATATATAAGGTCGTATTTATCATCACCACGTACAACAATATATAGAGAAACAAATTACCAGCCGTTTTCCTATTTACAGTTAATCAGCACAGGATGGCGATTAAGAGCAAAGTGCTTGTCGTCGGCGGGACGGGCTACATCGGGCGGCGGATCGTGGCGGCGAGCCTGGCTCAGGGCCACACCACTTACGTGCTGAAGCGGCCGGAGAGCGGTTTGGACATCGAGAAGCTCCAGATCCTGCTGTCCTTCAAGAAGCAAGGCGCTCACCTCGTGGAGGCCTCTTTTTCCGACCAGGACAGCCTCGTCCGCGCCGTCAAGCTCGCCGACGTCGTCATATGCACCATGTCTGGCGTTCACTTCCGGTCCCACAACATCCTGCTCCAGCTCAAGCTCGTCGAAGCCATCAAGCGAGCTGGAAACGTCAAGGTATATATATTATGTTCGTATATACTTGACTTTTGGTCCAAATTACTGCTTTGATTGACTTTTATGTGTTTTTGTTAATTACTTAGGTTCGGTGTGTTGTTCTTAATTTCTCTAGAAAAAAAGTATGCTTCGACGACAAACTTGAGCACAAACAGTAGAGTTGACGTGAACTTTGAATCTAATGTTGATACACGTGACTCTATAGTATAAATACTGGAGACACGATTTGGATCGGACGCATATTTATCGAGTCATAAATCTGAATGAGGGGTGAATATGGACTGTGGTAATTGGTAAAAGCGCTAAAATTTACAAAAAGTATTCTATTTTCTAAATTTAGTATAAAATTACATGTAATTTTATCTATATTTGAAAGTTATAAGAGTTTCAACCTAACTCTACCACCACATGTGTGTGAAAAATTAGGAAAATCTGGGGTGGTACTGGACTCAACCGAGTTTGTATTTGTAAAGTATAATTAGTACAAATCTTATTACATAGATTAAGAGTGTTATTACCTAATTTTTTTCAGAATTTTATCTCCTATCAAAGTTGTATAATATTGTAATACTATTCCAGTGGCGTAGCAAAAAACGGTAACAAGGAGCTAAAATATATATACATAACGAATTTGAACTGTGTGGTAATTGAAAGGGATAAAATCGTACCACCTCCCAACTTAATTACAAAATTTACATTTTACACTCCCAACTGCTATTCGTACTACTCATGATGACATAACTAGCTAAGAGATTAATGTTAATACGAAACTTTTATATATAATTTGGTTAATGCATATCATGTATGTTTATATATATATAGCGGTTCGTGCCGTCGGAGTTCGGGATGGATCCGGCGAGGATGGGAGGCGCGTTGGAGCCAGGCAACGAGACTTTCGAGCAGAAGATGGTGGTGAGGAAGGCCATCGAAGACGCCAACATCCCGCACACTTACGTCTCCGCCAACTGCTTCGCCGGTTACTTCGTCGGCAATCTCTCCCAGCTCGGAACCCTCACCCCTCCCTCTCGCGACCAACAGGTCGTTATCTATGGCGGTGGGAACGTCAAGGGTAAGTGAAGTAACTCCTAATTCAAATTCAACCTAGCCAGCCACCTAATCATTCCGACACACGTATATATATGCTTTCGTAAAACAGTAATACTAATTATTATAGTTACTTAATTTAAGTGCTCTGTTGTTGTTGTTGTTGTTGGTTGTTAGGTCCCTTAATTCTTAATTTGACTATATAATAATCCACCTACGTTTCTGTCAATCTACCTCGAATCAATGAACATAACAGTAAAAGACACGAGATTTAACGTGGTTCGGCCTTTCAGAAAGGCTTTACTCCACGGTGGCTAATAGGGTTCTTAGTTTCATTAATTCGCCATTAAGCCAAAAGTAGGCTTAAATAGGCAGCCACAAACACGTAGAGGGTTCAGCCACAAACCCCAACGTGTATCCGTCACAGTCCACATACAAAATATATTTACAAGTTTGGTCCTCTAATTTTACATAATCCAACATCCCCCCTCAAACTGATGGTGCTTGACGCAACATCAGTTTGTGTGACAAATACCAATGACGACTGGAAGAAACCGCCTTCGTAAGAAGATCGGCAGGCTGATCATCAGTATGGAGATACTTCAACTGCATCCACCCGTCCGAGACAAGCTGCCGAATGTAATGAACGTGGATCTCGATATGTTTCGTGCGCTCGTGTAGAACCGGATTTGTAGCAATTCGAATAGCACTCATATTATCTGCGTACAAAGTAACCGGAGTGGGACACGAAATACCCAAGTCTTCGAGAAGACGATGCAACCAGACCAGCTCAGAACTGACGTCAGACATAGACCGATACTCGGCCTCTGTAGAGGACTTGGAAACTCGATCCTGCTTCTTGCAACGCCAAGAAATGAGAGAGGAACCAAACTTAACACACCAACCAGATGTAGAACGTCGAGTGTCAAGACAGCCTGCGTAGTCTGCATCTGCATAGGCCGATAAAGAAAGATCACCAATGGAAGGAAAGAAGAGACCAACCTCAGCCGTGCCACTCAAGTAACGAAGAATCCGATAAACAGCATCCAAATGCAACGTCCGGGGAGAGGCCATGAACTGACTGACAATCTGAACAGCGTAGGAAATGTCAGGACGAGTAGAAGTTAAGTAGATGAGGCTGCCAACCAGACTGCGATACATAGAACCATCCGACGAAGATAGAACATCACCACTCTCACTGCACAATTTCAAATTTTGCTCCATAGGTGTGACCGCAGGTTTGCAGTCAGTAAGTCGTGCCTGTTCCAGGATATCCAAGATATATTTATGTTGAGAAACAAATAAACCATGACTAGAGCGCTGAACTTCCAAACCCAAAAAATACGATAGATTTCCCAACTCCTTGAGACGAAAGGCCTTGTTCAAAACATCAGTCAACTCCCGAATGCCTGCAGAATCATCTCCAGTCACGATCATGTCGTCCACATAAATCAAGAGAACTGTCAGACCATGGATAGTCGACCGAGTGAACAGTGATGGATCATTGGCACTCTGTACAAAACCAGCCTGTAGAATCGTAGTATGAAATTTTTCAAACCACGCACGAGGAGCCTGTTTTAACCCATAGAGAGACCGATGTAATAAACAGACAGTCGAACTGTCTCCCTTAGTATAACCCGGAGGACGCTCCATGTAAATGGTTTCCTTCAAATCACCATGAAGGAAAGCATTTTTAACATCAAGCTGTACAAGAGGCCATTTCTGTAGGGCAGCCACAGCCAACACAGTACGGACAGTTTGCATCTTAGCAACCGGTGCAAAAGTGTCCTCGTAATCGATACCAAATTCTTGTTTGAAGCCCTGAGCAACAACGCGAGCTCGAAACCGCTCCAATGTCCCATCTGGTTTGAGTTTAACAGTGTAAACCCAGCGAGACCCCACAACATTTTGATCCACAGGACGAGGAACAAGAGTCCAAGTATTTTGAGCTTCGAGCGCATCCTTTTCCTCATCCATAGCGCGTTCCCAATTTTCATTGCCACAAGCCTGGCGATATGAAGTAGGAATTGGAATAGCAAGAGCATCCGCCGAGAAGGTTACATAGTCATGTGATCTAGGCGGGGGCTGGCCGAAGTTACTCCTATTGGAGCGACGCAGCACTGGCACGTCGAGAGGAGGAGACACCGGGGGAGATGGCCCGGAGGAGCTAGAAGAGCTAGACGATGACGAGCTTGAGGAAGGGCTCGTAGAAGACGGTGTAACAGGCTCATGTGACGGGGAGGAATCTGTGGAAGTGGACTCGGAATGAGAAGAAAAACCAGGGGGATCGATAGTAGGCGGCTGAGGTGAGGCGGATGGAGTGACCATTTCTAGTAGAGTAGCCAGCGGCAGCGAGTCAAGAAAAGAAATATCAGGGGGGTCTTTGGAAACCAGCTTGTAGTGGAGAAGATGTTCCATGAAAACTACATGAGGGGAGATACGAACTCGTCGAGCAGCAGTGTCATAACATAGATAACCCTTTTGACGATCGCTGTACCCAATAAAGACACAAGTCGCAACCTTAGGGGCCAATTTGTGTCGTTCCTTTGCCGAGAGCAAGACAAAACAGCGACAACCAAACACACGCAGGCGTGTGTAGTCCGGGTGTTTTCCAAAGAGCATGAAGTAAGGTGAATGCTGATTAAGAACAGGAGTGACCTGGCGGTTTATCAAATGAACGACAGTGTGCACTGCCTCGACCCAAAAATCAACAGGAACATGAGAGTGAATCAGCAAAGCCCGAGTAAGGTCTAGTACATGGCGGTGTTTCCTTTCTACCAAGCCATTTTGCTGTGAAACACCCGGACATGAGAGTTGCGAGATAATTCCATGCTGCTTATAGAAATCAAGTAAAGGAGTAGAGTTAAATTCACCACCAGGATCGGAGCGGATAACCTTGACCGTCTTACCAAACTGAGTACGGACCATCTGAATAAACTCAAGCGCTATACCACAAAGGTCAGATTTCTTACGCAAAAAGTAAACCCAACAATAGCGAGTAGCATGATCGATGAATAACGCAAAGTAGCGATATCCCAGGCGAGAAGTAGTGGGAGGAGGACCCCACAGATCAGTATGAACCAAATCAAAAGCTGCAGCATATTGCGTATCACTAGATCCAAAAGAAATCTGAGTCATTTTTGCTTGAATGCAACTAACACAAGGAGTATCATAATCAGAATGAGAACCCAAAACCCCAGGAAGAAGTTTATTCCGAAACATCGTTTTCAAACGGACAGAATGGGGATGACCCAAACGAGAATGCCACAAATTCCAGTCTTCCACAGAAACAGAATAAGAAAGTAAATCACTAATAGAAGGTGCACCCTCTTCCTTGTTGCCAAACGATGACTCCGATGACTCCAAGGTGTCCAAGGTATAGGTGCGTCCACGTTTCGATCCTTTACCCAGCATCCTCCCCGTTCTCCGATCCTGTACCACACACCCATCGGAATCAAAAATAACACGACATCCAGTCTCAGCTAACTGACCAACAGATGCAAGATTAGGAACCAGCCCAGGAACATAAAGTGTATCAGGTAACAGAAGGTGAGGCTGTTGAATTGTACCCTTCCCGTGAACAGGAAGCCGAGACCCATTGGCGACTTGTAGTTCAAGAGATGGCACACTTTGCAAGTTTAAGAACTTATCACGAGTACTAGACATATGATTATAAGCTGCTGAATCAAGATGCCAAGTAGCTGAAGTACCTGTTTGGGGGGCAGCAGAGAATACAGACTGTAGGGCAGAAGGCAGAACCTTCTGAAGTGCAGATTGAACCATTTGTTCGATCGCATCAGAGGAGAGGGCCGCAGGAGCAGGCGGAGCTCCAAGCAACCCGGCGACGGGAGGTGGCGATGGGAGACTTGATGAGGGAAGATGAACGCCGTACGCAGGAACAGGTGCAGCCGAACGTGACCCGCTAGCCTTCCCGCGACGAGCTAAGCTCGGACAGTCAAGAACAATATGACCCGCCGTCTTGCAATAGTTACACTGATTACGCTTGCGGCAGTGAATCTGAACATGACCTTTTTCCCGGCAGAAGTGACACTCAACATGGGAAGGTACAGGGCGCTGAAACTGAGGTTTGCCGGAACGACCGACAGCAAATGCCGTATCAGAACTGAAGGAACCATGATCAACCTGAGCTTGACTGCGCAACCTGGTCTCTTCGCGAATGAGTTCAGCGACCGCATCATCAATAGCAGTGACGTTGCGGTGAAGCAGCGAGGCACGAACCGGTTCAAATTCGGGGCGCAACTTGGCCAAGAACTGCATAAGACGAAGCCGTTTCCTTTCCTGTAGCATAGCGGGAGTAACCTGGCCTTTAGTGATAGCAAGAGAGAGCATGTCTTCTTCAGTCCAAAGATGGAGAGCATCTTGATAGTAACGACGAATATCCGAATCACCTTGAGCCAGATTAACAATAGCAGTAGAGACCTCAAATTGCCGAGAAGCACTAGCCTGTGAGTGGAGTGAGCAAAGATGGTTCCACATTTCATGAGCAGTCGAAAATGACCTCAAACTCAAGGCAATACTAGGCTCGACCGCACCCAGCAACATGGATGTAACCTGGGCGTTATTCGCCGCCCAATCAGCCTTATCTTTGTCGGCAGCAGAATCAGCCGGCATTGCAATAGAACCATCTAGGTAGGGAAACAACCGTTTGCCCTCAATAAAAACTCGAAATTGAAATTCCCAGAGTGGGAAGTTCTTGCCATTGAGACGAGCAGATACATATTCCTTCATTGAATCCATGATGCACGAGATACAGAACAAGCCAAGCAATAACGAGAACCAAAGCAGCAACAGCACCCCGAAGCAGCAAGCAGCAGCGAATGAAGGGGCAGAAGGCAAGACCCAACAAGAAAGGAATACCAATAAAAGAGAAAGAGCAAAAATAGCTCACCCGCAGCAGTAGAACCCAAAGCAATAATAAAGATTCCAAGACCCTTAACTGAGAACACGTTCCAAGCGGCAAAACCAGCGAATGATCACGCAAGGAGCAGAAAGAATAACCCAGCAGCGGCGCAGCTTGATACAAAGCACGTACCCAAAGAAGATGCAAACCACTCGAACTAAACACGATGAACCCCGCGAGGCTCTGATACCATGTCAATCTACCTCGAATCAATGAACATAACAGTAAAAGACACGAGATTTAACGTGGTTCGGCCTTTCAGAAAGGCTTTACTCCACGGTGGCTAATAGGGTTCTTAGTTTCATTAATCCGCCATTAAGCCAAAAGTAGGCTTAAATAGGCAGCCACAAACACGTAGAGGGTTCAGCCACAAACCCCAACGTGTATCCGTCACAGTCCACATACAAAATATATTTACAAGTTTGGTCCTCTAATTTTACATAATCCAACAGTTTCCAAAGTCAGGAATGGCTGGCCAGCTAGAAAAAGCAAACCACTTGCTTTCTGACCATGCACTAAGAATTTCCACCAACTTGTCAAATGATGATATTGACATGTGTCAACAGTAGTATACCTTTGAAGAATGCTTATATATTGCGTCTTGCTGACGTGCTCATGATGTTATATATTGATAATGCGATAAATAGTGACAGTTAACCGAATAATTTTTGGGTTACGTTTGGATCGACGTGGCACGTAAATATGCATGCATGTATATATATATATATATATATATATATAATTCTATAATTCGTTATAATAAATTATGAGCATATGTATTATATACGCAGTGGTGTACGTGGACGAGGACGACGTTGGCACGTATACGATCAAAGCAGTAGACGACGAGCGAACGTTGAACAAGACGGTGTACATAAGGCCGCCTGAGAATGTGATGACTCAGGGAGAGTTGGTTGCCATGTGGGAGAAGCTGAGCGGTCAACAAGTTCAAAAAGTTGACCTTTCCGCCCAAGACTTCCTTGCTTCCATGGAAGGTAACGTCGTCGTACTAATGGAAAGTCTTCGATCTTCATTATTTTTTATATACACTGTATTTATACGGTAGACTTGATACGTATTAGTGTATTCGTGTGTGTGTGTGTGTGTATTTATACGCAGGGAAGGATGTAGCTACACGCGCAGGGATAGGGCATTTCTACCACATATTCTACGAGGGGTGCCTAGCCAATTTCGAGATCGGTGAAGATGCAGCAGAAGCTTCGAGTTTGTATCCAGAAGTGAAGTACACTCGCGTCCATGAGTATTTGCAGATATTCCTTTGAGAGATTATCATATATGTGTACGAGTTAATTTGAATATTTTTGCTGAAGAAGATGTCAACAATGCGGTTCAATAATTTGAGCTATACGTACTATATACGTAGCTCTAGAATAAGCAAGGTTGTGTATGTTCTAATTTGTTTTGTGATCGTTACCTAGTGGGTTGCTGGATGAATGTTAATTCATGATTATGGCGCCTGATTTCAAAGCAAATGATGTTTAAATAATGAACTTGCATCCCATTAAGCGTGAAAACCGTTACCCATGTTTTAGCTATAATACTTCCTACTTTTTTTAGTGTTAGACGTGTTTGCCCGCCACACCGCTTAAAAAGTGGTTGGAATAACGAGGGTAGGACGGGTAGTTCAATACTGACCGGAGAGAGATGAGGTATGAAATTTGATAATGTAATGGGGAGAATAGTTTATTGTTGTATAGTTTTTTTTTAACACGTGATAAAAATAGTGAATTTCAGTAGGAAAGAGACATGAATGATGCAACAAATAAAAAACCAGCCTTGTGAACCAAAATCAAGTACATGTTACCTTGTGAAACAATATTGTTTCTGGTGGAGTAAGTTTTATAGAAACCGAATTTAAGAAAATCGAATAAAAAATCGCCTATCCCGACGGTTTTCGGGAAATGAGCATCTCACAATCGTTGCTAGCTTTTACTCGGCTCGTTGGCTGATTAATTTGCTTTATAAAACTTTCATCTTATCATCATTGTGCTTTCTGGATTTTTGCCAAGCCATGATAAAATCTAAAGAAATCAAGAATGAACAGCACGATTTGGGATAGGAACCACCGTTCCTGTATCCCTACAAAATGGTGGTAAACACGGACTCACCTGCCAAACTGGTTTGGATTGAGATTTTTATCGGGTATCAGGGAACCATGTGATTATAAATTAGACTTGATCAAAACGGGCCAAAACTTGAAATTCAACATGTTTGACCGACCCATGCCAAACTCTAATTATTATTTACTTTTAAAATTTCTATTTGAAAATAAAAAAATAATGAAAGAAAAGAGATGACTGCAATTCGCCATTTGCACATCACTGATTCGGGAATAAAACTATAGAATTTCGAAAGGAATCTGAAAATGTTTAGGATCGTTTTAATGTTAAAAATAACCAAATAGATCTTTATGTTTAGTTTTTAACTAACAAATACCAAACGATTCCCTATAATATACACTATAGTTTAATCATTATGATATCAAATAATTACATAATATATATCTGAAATGATGAAAATTGGACTAATTGGGTTGGTCGAGGTTGAACCATTGAACAACTTTAAAATACATTATATTTTAGCCATTAAGATATAAAATAATAGCATAATATATATTATGCTAGAGAAAATAGCTTGTTTTAGAATGGCAAACTCATGATGTTCATTTGTTTTACTTGATGGGAAAATCCCGTGTAGGTCAGACCCAGTCAACTCTTTTATTTTATGATTAGCGGTTAGCCCATTAGAATCCATGCATTAGTTTATTGTTTATTTTTTTCTTTTTAGCAATAAAAAGGAGTATTGTTTTTGCCTTTTCATATATATTTTACCACCACGGAGAAATAAAAGGACTTAAAGAAAAAAATTGACACTCCTGGACCCGTTTAAATCCATATGTGTACGGTAAGTTGGCCCGTTCCACAGAGGAAAAAGAAAAAAAAAATTGACACTCTCTATTCTACCCTTCTTACAAATGCTCCTGGAGCAGAGAATTTGAAATGGGGGAACTGTTTTTTCCTCTCTGCGATTATATGTTTTTAATTTAAAAAGCACAACAAATGTACTTAGTGTGATTGGTTATGATCTTTGTTTTTCTTTAAAGTGGTCATGGTTCGAATCCTAGTAAGTGTCTTTTTAATGAATAAAAAAAAGTAATTGTGAAGACCAAAATGTCTTCCTACTTTCACTCTGGATGCAGGAAATTTGAAATGAGGCTTCAAGTTTTCTCATTTGGCTTTTATTTATTGTGTAGATTCATATCTTTTTTTCAAAATCGAGTAAAAGTTAATTAGGTCGAATAATTTTTGTGTGGGTACTAGATAGAGAGGTACACTCATTATTACACATAAATTAAGGGACAACGCTTCATAAATGAAAAAGAGATATGATATGTTGAATAACTAAATAAATCTGATTACTTGAAAGATGAAGTCTTTCTGCTTATTCAAAATCTTGTTTGGTGAAAATATGATTTAAGAAGAACCAAAAGGGGAGAAACACAAGTAGATATTGATTCAAAACAAGATAGAACGAGTGGAGAATGTGACAGGACTAGGCGAGACAAGTTGAAAGTAATACGCATGTCATCCCGCCCCACATTACTACGAGTTTGGTAATATTAACTCCAAACAAGTTGGAGAGGTTGGGTTACACGATTCGTTTCAGAAATGATTTAATTAGAGTTTTGATATCTTTTGGTATAAAGTTTAATTAGAGTAGTGGCGAACTCACGACCCTTTGGATACCTCTAAAATTTGAGGAAAAATATTATTGACCCATCGGTAGCAGTTTGAGTTTACGTTAGGAGCGGATTCATGGCCCTTTATGGATGCTCAGGACACCACTATAAAATTTGGGGAAATTTTTCGACCTTCTAATAGTAGTTTGAGTTTGGAGAAAAGAAAAATAGATAGTAACCTTTGTGATTTGAACCCGTAATACAACAATTATTAGAGAAAATATTACACATTACACTACAAATGATTTATTGTTATATTTGAAACATAAATGAAATTACAATCTAAAGTCCTTTAAATCCAATATGGCCAATTTTTATTTAAACTCCAAAAATTATTCCCAATCTCCCACCCTTCTAATACTGATAAAGCTTGCAATTTTATAATGTTTAATTTTTTTACTTGGTTCTTAATATGCAACCTCAAAAGTTTATCTACACTTTGATGAAGCGAATACTAGGTTGTTAATTTGTATGATTTGTCCTAGCCCAGAGAATGAGTTTGCTCTTGACAAGGAGAAGGTCATAAATCGCACTCGATTTTAACTTAATGAATTTGATAAGCTTTCTGACTCATTTTTTCTATGACACTTTAAGAATGTTTATCAATATCATTGTGCAAGATTCAAGAATAATGAGTTATTTCTTTGATTAAAAGGAACAAATGGATTAGTTTAGTTTATGGTGATGAAGACAAAAGTAAATCCATAATATTCATCGGACTATTTGTTTCTTGAACTTGTGTTAATTTTACCAGTTGCAACTTCAAGTGTTGAAATATATTTTTTAGCTTACGCTACATCAAGAACAAGTTTCGAAACTGAATAGGCAATAAATTCGTGAAAGGTTGTCTAGTATGATATATTAAAAAAATTGTTGAGCACGATAGACATTAAATATATTCTACAATTTTTCCAAAATATGAAAATACATCATGGAATCATGTCGTTTTGTAAGGTCTACTAGTTGGATATTTTTCTAATTTGTGAAATTATATTTTAATATTTTAATTTAATTTTGAAAGATGGTACCCCTAAATAAAAATTTTCGGTCTTCCATTGAATTAGAGGGACTTCCACTAAGAGAGTCCAAGGTTATTTGCACACTTAGTTGCTGAGGTCCAGATACGAGTAATTATCAGAATTCAAATCAATGAGTCTAAAATTATAAGTTAGGGTTGTTTGAAGAACAATATTCGAGTCATAGATTCAACATAGAAAAGACTTTTTGTTACTTTTTGTATTGTGGTTTTAACTGTGAGATGATGCAATTGTAATTGACGGGATTGATTTGTTGATAATCATTCACACTTTTAGTGGCTTGGGGGGCAAAACATGAAAGCCATTGGAGATGATGGCCTTCTCAAGCAGGCGGAGTTGAAGGTATGTTCTATATCTTTTTTTTTATAATGGAAGGTATGTTCTATATCTTGCCGAGAGTCATATACTCTTCAATTAGTTATTGTCAAGAAATTGATTGAATCTTTATAAATTAGGGGAAGGATAGAGTTCCTATAAACTTATTACAAAACTAAATTTTGATCCATCAGTTTTAATCACATCTACCTAACCAGAATAACTCGTAATGAACAAAAAAGAAAAGAAGAGGTGGACTAATAATTTCACTCCCTTCTGCCTTTTATGTTTTTTTTTGTCTTTTACTGACATGAATCCAGAGCAGGCAAGTACCAATCAAAGATTTCTTTTTCTAATAAGATTATATATCATTTGTTTTAACTCAGAATTTAAATAATTATATATATAAAGAACGAATTAATTATGATCTACGTAACAATATCTATTTTATTGTAGTATTATCACTAACATATCATCACAATATAATCATATGACATTGGTATGATGATATATAAAATTCTTTTTAACTCGAAATTACAAAAATGTGTAAGAAGAACTCATTAATTATGATATGCACAATGATGGTACCTCTTAAAAAACAAGTGTTTGTTGTCATCTCATTACGGTCATATCATGATCTTACCACTATGGTGCGATAGATAACATTATCGTACCGCTAACATCCTATGACAGTGGTATTATGACATCTATTTTTCTGCTCAACGAGAGACCTCATATTATCTTATCAGTGTTATACCACTATGGTAAGACTTCATAATATCATATCATCATTGTCATACAATGGTCTTACCACTATAGTAAGGCTGACAACACCCTCATACCACTGTCATACCACTATGGCCATCTCGAGGGTATCACTAATCCATTCCTCAAATCCCTTTTCTTCTCCCGGCTTGACTAATCCCTTTTATTCTCTTCTCTTCCTTGTGACATCAACCATGCAAATCCTTTCACAAATTAATTCAACGAAGGAGACCTAACATGAAGGTTGGAGAGTCAGAGTCGCACGAAACAGTTCGATTTAAGAAAGGTGATTGAGCACGGAGGTCGGAGAGACAGAGGGAAGGAAGAAACCATGGACCCTAAGCTGCTCAACTTGCGGAGGATTTGTTAGTGGAAGTTTTTTGATGAATTCCTAGGATAGGTGATGCCTCTCTAAAGTTGTTTTGCAAGCGCCTTAATGTCCTGATGTGCCTCTAACGTTTACTTTCATGTTTTGTTGCTAACCACTTGGAATAGGAGGAATGTAGTGCATGGTTGGTAACCCCTAGTTTGCAGCTTCCCATTTTGCATTCAGTTAAGCTTATAGATAATTATCTTTAGGTTTTGGGTCGCACGAAGTATTTGATTATGTGTCGAGATGGAAGAGGGGACTTTTT